TCAGCGTCCAGCCGCTGGCAGAGTTGCACTGGCAACTTCCGCTCTGGCAGACAGTTTGACTGGTGGCAGAAAAGGTGCTCGAGCAGTCGTAATCAGTCGTACAGGTGTACGGCTCGCAGTTAATCGGATTGCTATCAGCGGGGAGGTAGCCCAGCTTGCAGATGCAGCTTTTGGGGGAGTTTTGGGAGTTCGAGGAGGGAGTTCCACAGACCGCCCCGGCGCCGCACTGCAGGTCAAAGGCGCAGAAGGCGCCTCGAGGCTGTCGAACCGGGCGGCAGGTCTGCGTGGCTAGGTCCAGCTCGAAGCTGTCATCACAGACACATCGGTGGCTGTCTAGGGCGCACTTTGTGTCGAGGCCAATGTTCCAGCGACAGAAGTTCGAAGAAGGACAGCTTTGGGCAGTGCAGGAGGAGTTCTGGTTTGGTTTGTAGTATCTACAAATGATTGTAGTATTGTTTTAAAAAGGTTTTTATTTTAAATTTAATTTTAATTTTTTTAATTTACCCTAGATTGCACTGGCAGAGCTTGGTGGTAGGGCTGCAGAAGGCATTCTCCCCGCAGATGGTGGCGTTTAGTCGGCAGCTGACATTGGCCGTGGAAGTTTCTGTGGAGTTTACTTTGGAAGGTTTAATTTCATGATTTTGTTTAGGGTGATGATGTTGTACGATTTTTGTGCAGCTGGAAAGGCTGACTGCAAGAAAAAGAAGAAGAAGAAGTAGAAAAGTGGCAAAGAGAGGGCGGCTGAAGTTCATGGTTGAAGGATTTTTTAGAAGTTCTTTATTCTCAGATTTTTCTAAATGGTTTTCTAAAACTCAACTTTATTTTTTGCAAATAATTTATATGCGTTTTTGTTGGTTTTTTATTTGACTAAACTCCCTCTCTTTTTATTCTTTTTGATAATTTTATTATATCGATTTGTGCAGGTCGGTTATGTATTACTTTTAATCGCTTTTGCAACAGTAGCTAAAACAGTAAACTCCCACAAAAAAGAGATTCAATCAGATGGGCAGATGAGTAGTCACCTGCGCTTTTTATCTATTTTGTTTGTTTCCTTGTTTGCGTGCTTTTAATCTACCAAACATAACCAAAGTAGTAGAAAGTAGTTGATTGAATCATGTGCGCTAGTATTATTACACAGTGATGTCATTGGATTTAGCGGGGAAAAGGTAGTAATAACTTTTAAGAATTTTTTCGCGCTCTCTCATTTCAAATGTCTGCGGCTGAACAAAGTCGGCGCCGATGATTGGCCGGGTTGGCGCCGGTAACGTACACTCTGAAAAGTCGGCTGCGTGCCTAGCACTTTGCCCAAAGAACTTCCTAGCTGAAGTGTGTTCCTTTCAAGCAAATGATTTGTGGTTATGTAGTGCACTTATTTGCCTGCTTTTAGACTATTTAATTATTACCAGATGATACCAATAAAAATAAATTTTTGCGTTTTTACCCTCCTACAGCTGCTAACTATTATGCCATAAACTTTAACTAAAAGCACACTTTTTCCCTTTTCTGTTAATTAGCTAGGCCTAGGCTAGTTTGCCCAGCCTGTTTCTCGCCTTGTGGCCCAGGGCACACATGTGTTTGCCTTTATTTTTGTATGGACCACTGACTGGGCACTTTGGCCCTAGAAAAGAGAGAGAGAGAGAATGAGCTGGAATTTGATATTTACATTTTCAGAGTTGCCACCAACAGCCGCCGTCCTCATCATTCTCAATCGTCCGCAGTGTGTTTGCTTACCAAGTCTCTCTTATCTGGGTAACAAAATGTAAGTGTGTGGAATTGGCTAGCTTGAAAGTTGAACATCAGTTTTTTGTGTTTGTCTAAGCATCAGTATCTTTTTTCTCTTGATAAAAGACTAAAGCCTGTCTGTTAGCTATTTTCTGAGAAAGAGAGTTTGTGTTCTCAGTGAAATACACATATTATTACTTCAGTGGCTTGTGCTGACGTGTACACTAAATAAAAAATTGTTTAAATTTCTTTTTAACTTTTTACCTTTTTATTATTCATTATATTCCCTGACAAGGATGCATCCGTTAAGATCATTTCTACTTCTACTGGCGGTGGTAATCACTTCTGCAAATGCTGCTGAGCAGACCAAAGCTACCAGCAGCAGCCCGAAAGCTCTGTTTCAAGTCGCCCAATCGAGTGACCTCTTCGGCTACAAACTGCTGCACCAGCTTGAGCTCCAGGAACGTTCCCAGCGAGAGGAAAATGGCGGAAATGACCCAAAGAACCTGCTCATCTCTCCCTTCAGCCTGAGCACCGCCCTCACGATGACTATGACCGGCGCCCAGGGAGACACCTACGAGGAGATGAGAAGTGTGCTCAGGTAGTTCCATTGAAAAATACAAAACGTAAAAACTTTTTCTAAGAAAAATCCCTTCTTCCCCAGACTCAACAACTCCCAACTGACCGAACCGGAGCTGATCGCCGCCTGCAGCAGACTTCTCCACAGATTAAGCTCCTCTCCTTCAAGCTCAACCGTTCTTCAGCTGGCCAGTGCTGTCGCTCTTCAGATTGGTTACCCCATTCTGCCCACCTTTCTGGACATCGTCGAATCGGACTTTCACTCAAAGCTCTTCAGCGTGAACTTTGCCGGCAACGGAAAAGCGGCCATTGAGAAAATCAACAGCTGGGCAGGGGAGAAAACCAGCGAAAAGATACCGATACTTTTTGAAGAGGAACAGTTGGACAAAGACACCCAACTGGTCCTCCTCAATGCACTCTACTTTAAGGGCGCCTGGGCGGAGAAGTTCAAGAAAAAGCACACCACTGAGGAGGAGTTCACCTGGTCAGAGGAGAAGAAGTTTAATGTTTCGATGATGCACGAAGAACTCATCAGTCTCAGGCAGACCACCACCGAGGAGGGTCACCAGCTGGTGGAGTTGCCGTACCGGGGAGAAGTGCAGAGCATGCTGCTCTTCCTTCCAAATGAGACCTTTCTGGCTGGGAATTCTTCCACCACCGCCGCCACCACCACCACCACCATCACCTCTGCTTTTTACCGAGCGATCAAAAAGCACAAGGCCCTCTCCAAGATGCGCTCCAAATGGGTCGACCTGTCGCTGCCTCGCTTTAAGATTGAGTCCGATTCATTTCAGGAGTTGAAAGGCATCCTTCAGAAGATGGGCATGAGGTCGGCTTTTGAAGGGGGAGTGGCAGACTTTAGCCGAGGTATGACCGGAGGTAAAGGCCTAAAGATTGCGCAGGTAGTGCAGAAGACGATGATCGAGGTGAATGAGGCGGGGGCGGATGTGGCAGCGGCGGCGGCCAGCCCGGCTGTCCCCTTCAACTACTACTCTCTTCCACTGCCACCAACTTCCATGCACTTCAACCGGCCCTTTCTCTTTGCCATTCGAGACAATCGTCTGTACGTGAACCTCTTTGTCGGAATCGTCAACAAACCCGAGGGCGGTAGTGAAGTCGGGGCTAAAGAAGAAAATGATGATGATGATGATGGTGAGAGGAAGATCTTTTATTACTGAATTAATTGTTATTCATCTAAACACTTCAGTTAGATGAATAATTTCACAGTTTTAATTTTTAAAATTAAAAATGTAAAGAGCAATGGGCAAAATAAGTCATTTTTGGGCCTAAATTGAGCAATTGAAACCTTTGACTTGTTATACACTGTTGAAAAGATAATTTTTTGCTGGTTACGAATCTTAAATAGATATGTTGAGGTGAAAAGTAGTTCTTGCACGACACTCCATAAAATGTCTTTAGAAATGTTATAGGAATAGCTTGAGTTTGACAGTTTTGCTATTTTTAATAATTTAGAACTTTTCAACTTTGATTTTTAATAACACAAAAACAATGATTTATGAGACTTACTCGTGCAAGAATCTTCTAAACTACTTTTCTCCTCTACATATTTATTTAAGATTCGTAACCAGCAAAAAATTACTTTTTCAACAGTGTATAACAAGTCAAAGGTTTCAATTGCTCAATTTAGGCCCATTTTGCCCATTGCTCTTTAAAAAAATCACTTTTTTGTTTAGTGCTCAGCGGCCCGCAGCAGCCCTCTCTCGTTGTCAGGCCTAGCCTTTTTTGCCTCAATCTTTCTTTCCAACACAGTACACTTGGGCTTGTGGGCCTGTATTTTTGCGTGGGCACACTTGTCTGAACAGCCCCCCACACACTTTGG